AATACTATTATTATTGTTATTATTTTTATTATTGATGTTGTTGTTGTTGATGTTGTTGTTGTCTTTTTTATTTACTAATTTATACTTGTAAAATTTGTAATTCACGCAAAAAAACATTCGAATTAATGACAAATAAGCTAACACAGGCAGACCCGTTAAACTGACGATTACGAATACTAAAATAGAGATGGTCGAATACCGATACAGAGATGGACGAACACGAATACCGATACAGAGATGGACGAACACGAATACCGATACAGAGATGGACAAATGCGAATACCGATACAGAGATGGACGAATGCGAATACCGATACCGAGATGGACGAATATGAATACCGATACAGAGATGGATGAATACAGATACCGATACAGAGATGGAAAAATACAAATACCGATACAGAGATGGACAAACACAAATACCGATAAAGAGATGGACAAATACCGAATACCGATACAGAAAAGAACGAATGCGAATACCGATACAGAGATGGACGAATACAAATACCGTCACATACCGACAAATAGTAGAATGATACTACCGCCATATACTAAGAGATATACTCACAGTTACTTACAAATACACACACACACATTTCTAATTTGGAAAACATACAAACAAGTTAACAATACAAAACAATACAAACAAGCACCGACAAACACCAGCATGCCGACTGGTATAATTACAAATCTACTTTACTTGAAAATATAATATATAATATATATAAAATTTATATATATATCGATTTATATATAATAAAATATAAATCGATATGAACCGAGTTGAAGAAATCTTTTTATGGTTTGGTTCTATCTACTAGAACGAGTTCAGACAGGCATTATTATCATTATCTTTATTAATATTATTACTATTTATTATTATAATTATTGTTAGTAATATTATTTATTATTAATATTATTAATTATTATTTTTATACTTTATTCATTGATCATTGATCATTTATTCATTCAGTGGAAACGTTGAAAAACTGGTCATACTAACAAAAACAACAACAACAACAACAACAACAACAACAATAACAACAACAAAAACAGCAACAGCAACAACGAAAACGACAACAACAACAACAATGTTAATAATAAACTAACAAAAATAACAACTACAATAACAACGACAAACACCGAATCCAAGCAAGCATTGAAAGACAAAAATGGAGCCAGTGCCATTTTACGCCTGTATCGACCAGCAACAACGCCAACAGCAACAACAACAACATCAATCTAACAACACAAAAGACAACAACAACAGTAATAATAATAACAATAATAACAACAACAATAATTTTAATAATAATAATAATAACATAATTAATAGAAGCTATCTGACGACACCCCGCTCAACATTTACCAGCGTATATCAGCGGTTTAATAACCCCTTCTATGACTCTTGGCCATTCCAATTAACGCATATTAACTCTAACAACAGCAACAACAACATCAACAACATCATCAACAACAACAACGACAACAACAGCAATAACAATAACAGTCGCGATAATAACAATAATAATCATAATGATAATATTAACGATGACAACAATGAGAATGATAATCCAGACGATGACGTGAATGATAAAGTTAACGATGGAGAGGATGACGACGACGAAGACGAAGGTGATGATGATGGTGATGATGATGACGACGATGATGATGGTAATGATGACGATGATGACGATGATGATGATGGAATTGGCAGAAATGTTAACGGTGATGATGTGGATTTTATTACAATTTTTCTAGAGTTACATTTAACGCGTGGCAAAGAAATTTTTCTTCAATTTTTTTTTCAACTTTATTTGCAACAGGCCGACAAGACATCACATCTGCCAAACTGACGTCATCGTCATCGTCACAGTCGTTATCAACATCATCGCTATCGCGTTCCATTTTTTCCGCATCACCTTCACTCATCAAACAGCAGCACCCCCACCACCCCCACCACCACCCCCACCATCCCCCCAATTACTTGTATCCACCTTTTCCTCCTCCTCCTCCCCCTCATTCTCATAACCATCAACCCTATCTCTTTGGCCAGTCAATCACCACTTCAACAATCGCATCCCCAAACCACACACTTCTCAGTGGCAGCAGCAGCAGCAACCACAGCAGCCACAACATCGGGACTTCAATTTGGGATATGTATCCTTCAACTGGTTCCACTTCGTGGCTCACGGATTGTTCATCTTTCTCGTCATCGCTCGGATTGCCAGATGCTTTTTACAATTTTTCAACTTCCGGTTACCCCGGAAGTATTGGAGGTGGTAGTGGCAGTTTGTTGCAGCCACAACTGCTGCACCATCGCGTTGGTAGTATGGGCGGTGTAATTAACAACAGCAACAGTTGTGGGGAGAAAGGTAGCGGTAACAACTTGCAGAACATTCTCTCGCTGAACTCAGCAGTTACAACTGCGAGTTCACTTTCGAGTTCCTCAGCTAATCTTCCTTACAACAGCAACGCTACTTCAAATACAAACACCGACGACAAACTGCAGCTAGATAAGAGCGAATCGGTCGATAACAAATTGAATAACTTTCCGAAAATCAAGTACCCAACCGATTTCAATTCTTACTTCCTTGACAATTCCATCCACACTCCATTTTCCGCCAAACAGCTGGCAGCCTCTCGCGGTGGAGTGACCGGCGCCAGACGCTACCCAGCCGGCCGACCAAACTGCGACTGCCCCAACTGCCAGGAAATCGACAAACTCGGTCCGGCTGCCGAATATTTGCGCAAATCGATCCAACACTGTTGTCACGTACCAGGCTGTGGTAAGATCTACAACAAGACGTCGCATTTGAAGGCCCACTTGCGCTGGCACACAGGCGAGCGATCGTTCGTCTGCAACTGGCTCTTCTGTGGTAAGCGATTCACAAGATCCGACGAGCTGCAACGACATCTACGCAGCCACACGGGCGACAAGAGGTTCGTTTGCAACTTCTGCAACAAGCGATTTACCAGAAGCGACCACCTGACGAAACACGTGAAGACACATTGCGAGGGTTCGAATGCAGCTTCAGCCAATGAAGGAGATAATAATGAAAATCTTGAAGAGATGAACGAGGGAGGGAGGGAGAACAACGGAACGATCAAACTGGAAGGTGCCGATGAGAAGCTGTCGCCATATCAGCAGCTGCAGCAACAACAACTACATACAAAACAACAACATCAGAAACATCCTCAACAACATCTTCAACAACATCCGGCTCAACAGCAGCAACAACAGCAGCAGCGAGATAATTGCGATTTTCCGAATCGGAAGCATTCGAATAGCAATGGCATCGATTATTTCATTTCTTCGTCGCCATCAAACAACAACAACAACAACAACAACAACAACAACAACAATAATAATAATAATAATACAAAATTGCACGATAATGACGATGACGTCACCAACAAAAGGATCAACAACAGCAACACTCGAAACAAACGATAGAAATTATTTTCGATGTGACGATGATGACACTGTGATGTTGTTGTTGTTGTTGATGTTGTTGTTGATGTTGTGGATGTTGTTGATGTTTTTGTTGTTGATGATGGTGTAAACAATAACTTGAATAATAAGATATATTAACAAACTGAAGGTGATGATGACGATGATGATGACGATGATGATGACGACAATGATGATGATGATGACGACAACAATGATGATGATGATGAACCGAACATGTTAATTCGTTATAGTATTAATTGCATTTTGATAACTAGAAAAAAGTGTTTTGGTGATTTTAAATTGAACGAACGAATGAATGAATGAAAGAATGAATGAATGAATGAATGAATGAATGGATGAATGAATGAATGAATGAAAAAATATTTGATAATATAAACGACTGAGTACCACAGGAATTTTGCTCCTTGTCATCATTGTTGAGGTAATTATCATCATCATCGTCATCACCGTCATCATCATCATCACCACCATCATCATCATCATCATCATCATCATCATCATCATCAACGTCATCCTGGTCGTAGTCACCACTAACGTCATCATCATCTTCATCGTAACCATCTCCATCGTCGTCATCACCATCATCATCGTCATCATTATCAGCATCTTTTTCAGCATCTTTTTCGTCGCCATCATCATCATCGTCGCCATCATCATTTCGAAGACGAAACGAGACGAAATTTTATTTAGCAACAAAAATATCTTGGTATTTAAATGTTACTGAGCTGATTAAGCTGAGCCAAAGTAAAATTAAAACTAAACAATTTAGTCTGGCCACACAAAGATAATAAATCAAAGAAGATGAACGGATGAAAATGGTGATAACCATGGTGATGATGTCGTAGAGATGACGATTATGATGATGATGATGATGATGATGATGATGATGATGATGATGATGATGATGATGATGATGATGATGATGATGATGATGATGATGATGATGATGATGATGATGATGATGATGATGATGATGATGATGATGATGATGATGATGATGATGATGAATGGCTAAACAAGAAAAGTAGATAATGCCATGTTGATAAAATATATGTGCGTGTGTGTAAGTGTGTGTTTTGCGTGCAAATATTTGTACGTGTTTGTGTAAATATGTGTACGTGTGTGTGTGTGTGTGTATGTGTGTGTGTCTTTTAGATGAAATATATTATTAAATTAAAGAAATGAACTAAATGGAAAGTTGTTAATTGATGAAGTTTAGAAATTACTTGTGACAGTGGTCTTAACTCTTTAAGACGTTCATTTATATAAATTTTTGAACTGAAAAATTTTTCTTTAATGAAACAAATAAACTGTTAGTATTAATAATTTCATTCAAAATTATAATTAATTATTCAAATTATCCAAAAAAAATGTCGTTTAATGAGAAATGTTTCCACAAAAAACTCCTTACTGGTTTATCATCATGCAAGTCTCTTCCTACTTTTTCATTCTTATACTCGCTAGGTCGTACCCTTTAAAATATGAACTTTGTTGTGACGCATTAACCTGGCGAATGAGATAAAACTACATATTATTATTATTAACAATAATTAAAATTATAATTAATAATAATTTCCTCCATACTAGTGCTAGTACAAAAGCTTGGCGAATTAAATAGACTGAATAAATGTTTAAAATTTGATGTACGCACACACATCAAAATCAGAGGGACAGCCATGGGGAGTAGTTTTGGAATGAAAGCCCCCCCCCCAAACACAATAGAATTTTTTGTTACAGTCAAGGTTAAATTTAATATAAAAGCATTAATATTGGAAGATGAAATAATATGCGCAGAAACAACTAATAACTTTAAAGCAAACTTGGCAAAAGTAGGATATTTATAGAAAAAAAGTCTCAGAGTGGTCCCGTCACAGATTTAGTCTTCATGGATCGCTATAAAAAATCTTTTTTATCCTATGCTATGTTTATAAAAAACGAAACTGTTTGTACACCTTTTAGTGCTAAACATACCTACGCCATGAAGTATCAACACACAAAAACGGACATGCATGTAAATAGATGGGCGAATCGATGAATGATAGATGATGATTCAATAAATATTATGATGCTGATCTAATCAGTTGAGGAATGGAACAAATGATGGAAAGCAGAACACGAGAGGATGGTGTAGGGCTAATGCCTGACCCCTTCGCTGCTCCATGACCGCAACACTCCACCATGGAAAGATGTGCAGAATGAATAATTAAAGCTTTTTATGGTGAACATTCATTCACATGTAACTTATTTATGATGAAAACTTTTGATACATAGTAATGTGTTTTGTTTTATCGTGTCTGCGTTTCTGTTTGCACTTACAGGTGTTTGTTTGTGTGTGTTTGTTTGTGTTTGTTTGTTGTTTGTTATTGTTTATATGTTTGTTTGTTTGTTTGTGTGTGTGTGTTTTTTTTCTGATTTTTAAAAGTTTTTTATTTAAAATATCTACGCGAAAATGATAATTTATCGATGATGACTGTCTCGGCGTGAGTGTTCGGTTTGATTCCTTATGCATGCCAGCAACTCTTTAACTTGAGTTGAGAATTTAGCTCATGTTAGCAGTGCCACAAACGTAAACAAACAAACAAAAACAAACAAACAAATGATACACAAACAATCAATCAAACAAAAAACGGAAAGAAAGTGAAAAAAAAACGAAAAACATACAAAACTTACGAAACGAACACGCAAACAAACCGGCAAACGTAGAACAACTAATGCTTTTTTCATGAACTCGTCACGTTAACACTGATTATGCATTTTTAGTTATGCGCGTCTCAGCACTTATGTGTCTGTTGTCGAGAAAGAAAGAGAGAGAGAGAGAGAGAGAGAGAGAGAGAGAGAGAGAGAGAGGGGAGAGAGCGAAAGAGAAAGAAATAAAAAAATAGCAAGTAATTTATCTCTTTCAAAAGAGTAGTAAAGTATTTTCAATGGAATAAAAATCTATTGAAAAATAGCTTCATTGAAAAGCGAATCATTACATAAAATATACATTGATGAATAACTTATGGATAAATTCAAAATCAATGAACAAATTATGATGGTATAATGGTAATTGAAGTAATTAAAGACAAAAAAAAGAAACAATTGAAGAGTTGGACGAGTATTGCATGGTGGTGAAATCCATTTAATTGTTCTCAGTACGATAAATTTCAGTTCAATTGATTTTCATTCAGCGTGCTTCTGCATTGCCCTTGTTTCATTGTACTTTTTTTGTTAAATTGTTTTTATTATTTATGGTTTTTGGTTTTTTCTGCATTTTTGTTGTTGCCTAAGTAGTTTAGTTTAAGTAGCATGCTAGATAGATAGATAGGTAGATGGATGGATGGATAGATGGATGGATGGATGGATGGATGGATAGATGGATGGATGGATGGATAGATGGATGGATGGATGGATAGAAAAATAGATAGATAGAAAAAGAGAGAGAAAGAGAAAGTGAAAAAGAGGGAGCGTGTGAAAGGGAGAATAACAGCTTGTCTACAAAAAAAAATGAATTACTATTCCAATAAATACTGTTTATTTAATATAATTATAATATAAATCTAAAAAATTTCTCGCGTAAGCATTGTCAGAAAAACAATTTAATTATCTTTATTAATAATAATTCACTTCGGATATATAAATATCTTTAACAAGTTTGATTACGCATGACTGCCACACAGTGTTGGCTGAGATGAATATCTTTATTTAATGCCGCTATGAAATTTTATCAATATAGTTAAATTTACGAAAGGATTTAAATGGATTTTAATTTTTTTATATTCCGAGAAATTTATTTTAATCTGTCTATTTTTTTTTATTTATCAATCGAAATAAAAAGTGAATACTGTTTATTACCATAAGCGTTTATCATAAATTATTTTTATAATTTCTTGTATAAAATAATCGTATCACTGTTACACACACACGCACACGCACGCACACACACACATACATACACACACAGAAGAGAGAGAAAGAGAAAGAGAGAGAGAGATAAAAAGAGAGAGAGAAGAGAGAGAGAAGAGAGAAAGAGTGAGACACACACACACACACTCTCATACATAGACATACACAGACACACACGCACGCACAAATTTAAGGAACTAAAATAATAAATAGAAACATCAATATGATAAAACAATTTGCTTGCTTCTTCAAAGGAAAGTTTTTTATCTCGGAAAAAAATTACAACAATTTTTTTGTTTTTCTTATTAAATTATAATTTGAAACACAATTTTTGCACGCATATGTGTGTTTCTAATTAAATTATTGTATATTTATGCGTGTTTGTGCGTGCTTATATGTGTCTGTGAGTGTGTATGTTTGTGTGTAAGTAGGTGTGCGTGTGTGCATGCGGGTTAAATTTGAAATTTTTATTGAAACTTGGCCTGCAACAAAAAACAAGAAAGGAATGAAAAAACTCATTTGAAAAAATTGAGTACGTAAAAAATTTTTTTTTATAAACACAAACACATACACACACACACATACACACACACATACACACACACATACACACACACACATACACACTACACACACATACACACTACACACACACGAACACAAGCGAAACAAAGATTGAATATTGACATCAGGGACCTTTTAACGATAGGCTCAAACATTTGTATAAATTAATGAATGAATTGTTGTTCAAATCGAATGAACGAACAAACATTAAAAAAAAGAACGTAAAAACGAACGAGCAAACAAAAGATCAAACAAACATACAAACAAACAATCAAACAAACAAACAATCAAACAAACAAGTGATAAATTCGTTCATCTCTGATACACACTTTCAACAAACGTTAATTTCATCATTCACGCCACTTCTACTTCTAAGAGGACACACCTGAAAGTGTGACATTTTTTGAAGTCACTTGAACAAACAAACATACGCACACAAACTTACACACACACACAAACAGCTCTTTCTCTTTCTCTCTCTCTCTCTCTCTTTCTCACTCTCTCACACAGAAACACACACAACTACATCAAAACCACATTCATTCTACAGCTTCACAGTTACTCACATAATGCAAAACACACACACACACACACAGAGAGAGAGAGAGAGAGAGAGAGAGACTCACATACAGTCACACACACACACAGAAACACACACACTCACACACACGTAAGAAAACACATCAGTAAATATTTTTGGCAAATCACTTACGTCTACTGGACTCATTGGACACTTGTGACAAATCATTTTGTCCGATGACAAATATCTTGACAAGGCTCATTTATTTCGCCCAGAGCACTCATTCTTCTCAACAGAAACCCATCTTTTGATGGTACCCTATTTGTTTTTGGAAGGACCCATTTCTTGGAAGGGCCATTTTTACTGAAATCTATTTATTTTAATTGGGATTTTTTTCTAGGGCCAATCTTTCCCGCGATTCTGCACTCGACGTCTGACGATTTATTACGTTCTTGCCACAGCGACACGTAATTAATATTTGTTAAACGTCATTCTTCATTCATTCAGTCGTTCGTTTCTTTTTTACTTCCGGCTTGTTTGTGTTTTTTTTTCTTGTTCTTCTTAATTGAATCTATTTATTTGTTGTTTTTTTTTATTCATTTAAAAGAGTTTGAAAAAAAAATTGAAAAGAGGGTTATCAAAACACCAAAACATAGCACAAAAATTATATTATATGTGTATATGTGGAACAAAAAAAAATGGGCGTCATAAGATGGAGCATAGATAAAAAAATTAATGTCATATCTATGGAGTGTGTACCGCGAAAAAATGTTCGATCTTCGCGTTGAAAAATCGGTTTTTAGGCGCCTTTGCTGATGTGGTGGCACCTTGTGATTGGTTAGTTTGAGGGTCGACGAGTTGAATGATTGGTTGGTTGGTTTGTTGGTTGGTTGGCTGGTTGAATGATTGGTTGGCTGGTTTTCTGGTTGATCATGTTAATGTTGTTTTTGCAGTCTCAAGAACCGTCAGAAAAGAAACATATTCAATCACTCACTCACTCACTCTCTCTCTCACTCACTCACTCACTCACTCACTCACTCACTCACTCACTCACTCACTCACTCACTCACTCACTCACTCACTCACTCACTCACTCACTCACTCATTCACTCACTCACTCATTCACTCACTCACTCACTAACTCCTAATGACTTTTAGACAATCAATAATGATTAATGGTGTGAAAGGTGTAAGTGTAGGATGGATGGGTAGAAAGATTACCATCATACCATGGCCACCAATTTGAAATTATACATTGGTTAGGAAAAAAGGCAAAAAATATTTCTCAAACTTATTTGTTGGAATTAATTTATGGTCTAAACAAAAAATTAATGAAAATAACACAAACCAGTTTTAGTTCGATGAAATGCACACACACACGCACACGCACACTGACACTACACACCACAAATATACACATAGATAATGGCCACACACACACAAATATATACACAAATATATACACAAACAATGACCAACACACACACACACACACACACACACAAACATACACATAAACAATGACCAACACACCACACACAACACACACACACACACACACATACACATAGATAATTAAATCAAATTTGTAAATTAATGAAACTAAGTAATTCCAAGTGAAACAACTACAGAAACTTTATTAAATTTTATGTATCTAGAACCTGAACCTAATAAATTGAACCAACATTCCACAAATTTCTTTCAAAGTTGGACAAGTGCCAATAGAGCGGTCAATTTTTGTAAGAAATAGACTCATTTATTTTAGAGATAAATGGAATTCTCTGTTTTTAGATATTTGTTTTGAAGAATGAATAAAGAGGGAAAGATTAATTAATTTGGTTTTTTTACTTGTAGGGTTTTAAAAATTAAGAAAAAATATAGTGTAAGTGAATACTTTTTATGTGGCATTTTGGAGTTTATTTCAATTTTCCTTCACGTCTTTCAGTTCCATGAGTATCGTTTGGAAATTTGGACATTTTTTTCTGTCTTTTTGTGTTTCTGTTCGTCTGTTTTTTTATTTTATTTTTTCTTTCTCTACATTTTCATCTTTCTCCCTCTATCTTTTCTCCATTTTCTCTCCTTTTCTGTACCTTTTTTTACTTCTCTCTCTCTCTTTCTCTCTCTCTCTTTCTCTCTTTCTCTCTTTCTTTCTTTCTCTGCACGACATGCGTATAAAAATTTATTTCAAGTCTACTCCGACAGACCGGTAAAATAACTCACTTCATTTTCAGACCTAGCATGCATGTTTAACAATCTTTTAAGCCAGCTAAAAAAAAGTTGAAACAACTTGAGTAAAAAATGAAAAGAAAGAGAGAGAAAGAGGGGAATAAATAAATAAAAAAGTAAGAGAAAGTGAGAGAAAAAGAGAAAGAGAGAGAATAAATTAGGCCAAAAAATCATCCGTCTATGTTTTATATCCACTATCTATTCTTGTACGCATTGATAAACTAGTTTAATGTGAAAAATTTTATTTTTTCGAAGGGAATTTAATTTAATTAATAAATTTGATTATCTCCTTTTGTAGTTAATTTGAAATTTTTAAAAAGTTAATTTATTTTCTCCTATTTAATTCATATTCAAAACGTTAACATTGAATTATTAGAATAAAATTAAATGATTATAAATAAGATATGAGCAACTGAACAAATAAATAAGTGAATAAAGGAATGAATCAGCAATCTATCACTCTAATCATTAGCATCGTCTCCATCTAACCATTAACACAATCTTACACTAATAAACTAATCAGTCACATATAATGAAATAAACAATCAAAAATTTCTGACTAGAATTGCTGTTTGAACATTTTTCCATAGCGATACGATGGCTCAATGATCAAGGCGTCTGCTTGCTGTTGATGATGAATCCAGTTTTTGATCGATCATGAGAAGTGTTTGGGAAAATTTTAAAAAGCTGTATAGGTACTGTCCAGGGGCTTCCATAGAATGGCCTTCCACAAAAAAGACGGTGTGTAACTTTGTAATTTCAACATAGTTTTTCAGTTATAATAAACTCTAGTTTTAATGAAAAAAATATGTCGATTAGACAGAAAAAGATCGCCAACTTGATTAGTAAACATTTGTTGCGATATCGACAATGGAAATTGAAAAAATGAAACAATTAGAGACCACTACCAATTACTAAAAAGCTTTCTCTTTTTCTTCTTCGCCTCAGGGCCTCCAAACCTGGCAATCCGCCGGCCCTGAACGCCTAAGGTTCGGGCACGGTTTGAACTTATCTTCGAAGTTATGTGACAACAATACTAAGTGCTGTATGACGGTGAAATTTTTTGGTTATTAGTAATACTTCGGTCTAAATTGCAGTTTGAAATCAAAAAACACAAAAGTTAACATTTCTTCATCGCATTAACCGACTTCAAGCGTTAAAGAAATGTATAATGCAATCGTTATTACAGTAGTATATGTGTGTAACTAATAGGAACACAGACTTTAATGAATCGTTGTATGTGTGAGTGTGTGTGAATGTGTGTAAGTATGTGTGTGTTTGGACGTTTGTATGGTTGTGTATATATTTTTTTTAATAATTGTTTGCATCTAAGCGAATGTTTTTACTGTCGTCTTCACAAACATTTATTTTAGGACATGTAACAAACGCTAGTATGTGTGCCATTCAAGTGCAAATATACACGTGTTTATCTAAGGTAAGAATATTTGAATGTGTTTCTGTTCTTCATCATCATCATCATCTTCATTTGTAATTATTATTCTCATAGTTTTTATTATTATATTGACGAATGAACTGAACGATGGATAATAAAAGTTGTAAGGTTAAAAAAGAATGAAGATAAAAAAATGTTCCGGTTGTCATTGCCTCCATCCGGCATGTATATAAGTCGAGAGATATTTTATTTTCAAGCAGTTTGTGCGATTCAAAACGGCACAATAATAATAATAATAGTTATAATAATAATAATAACAACAACAATAATAATATCAATAATAATAATAATAAATAACTAAAATAATAATAACAATATTATTATTTATTATTAATTATTAATAACAATAAGTTTTGGGTCCTTCACATGTCAAAGTTGTCTAGATACCCATTTGGTTGTCTCTAAATAGTTTTTGTAATGTCATTATTGAAATCAGTATTTGTATTTACCTATTACTGCTTTTACCACTCATACTTCTGCTGCTTCTGCCGCTACTACTACTGCTACAGCTGCTATTGCTACTGCTACCTCTACGACAACAACTACTTCTACTACTAATAACAATGAAAATAATTAATCAAAATTAACTAAAACTAATTACAATTAATTCCAGGTTCCAAATAAGAAGAATCTCTTAAGAGTTATCTGAAGATAGATCAAAATATTAGTGGTCGTTGAAACTAATTGAGGTTTGTTAAAATGTGTTTATCATACACACACACACATACACACACATACACAAACAACACACACACATATATATATATATATACCACATACACAACACCACACATGTTTCACACACAAATACACACACTTACAAATTTTTCCAATTTTTGTTAGTAATTTTGAGTAAAATTAAAAAAAAACTCCAAAAGAAAAAAGCTGGACGAAAAAGTGTTTATATAGTGTAATCATTACACCATCACAGCGTGGTTTTTGTAGTTAACCGCCAGACAGAATGTTTGTAGCCGAAAATTTTTTGTAGGTGTTTGTGTTAAAAAGTCGATAAAAAGAGCGAAAAAATTAAATGTGTACTGAAGAAAAATGAAATATTTCACAAAAAATATAATTAAAAACATTCATTTGTTTGTTCAGTTATTCAATCATTCAATCACTTATAATTCATTCATTCATTAATTCACTCTTTCATTTATTTATAAAATGGAAAAAAGAAAGCTTTGATATTAATTTGCCAGTTAAAAATTTTTTTCCTGCAATTCATCGTTGATGAACCGGACACAATTTAAATTAATTTAACACTCAATTAAGGAAAAATATATCCAAAAAATGGAAAATAACCCCAAAATTATTTCTTACCCCTAAAAATAAGCAACAACGACATGTATTTGCATAGCCAGTGCTAACAAAAAAGCTCTAAAATATCAAATAACATTTGTACGTATGTGTACAATACATTTTTCTGCAAAACTATCAACAAATTGAATAAATCTTCAGGAGCATTGGTTGTCTCCTCGAAAAATCATAACTTTATTTTAATAATAAAATAAAATTCATTAATGTTTTCATGAGTAAACTTGTGAAAAAAATTGTTTGCCATACAGAGGAATCGATTGAAATGTTAAACCAAACTTTGAAAAATTTAAAATTTCTTTAAAATATATCTACGTACAAACGCATAGCACATGGAAAACAAAATAAAATTATACTCCACATTTCGAGTAACCGAAATCATGTAACAGGAGCTATGCAACGAAGAACTAAGTAACAACATATTATGCAACAACAATTGAAGATACACACTGAGTTCCTGTTTTGAATGATTAATCAAAATCTCTTTGGTATACCATGTAATATTTGTGTCCGTTTGTATATTGTTTATGTTTTGCACTAAACAAAAAAACTAACACACATACAAACCAACATAAAATCAAACAAACACACATGCATACGAACAAGCCAACAAACAAATATACGTACAAACAAACAAAAAAACAAAGATAAAAACATAAAAACAAACATACACACAAACATAAATACATTCAAACAAACGAGCATACAAACAAACAAACAAAAGTACAAATCGTCCTTGCTTCATCAATTCTTACACCTACGATTGACAACGTGCACAGAGCATCTCTCCTACGTCATATAAATTTCGATGCACTTTTAAACTTTTTTATTCTTATTTTTCTGTTTATATCATAAAGGTCCTTCAGTATAACTTGCGTTATATACGTATCTATCTATCTACTGGTAGGAGGTCATATTTTATACGGTATTGTATGAATTCTACTGAGTTGTTGGCATTGATTAATCAATATAAAGTTTGTCTTTTCAATTTTCCTTACTAGAATTTATTTAGATTCTGGTTAGGAAAGTCGAAAAGACAAATTTTAAATTGGTTTATGCCAACAATTCGGTAGAATTCATACAATGCAGTATCTCTCTATCTAAAAAATTACACACACACACTCCTTAATATCTGCCAACATTACTATTTTTTAACATTATTAACTCTATCATTATATTATTATTATTGTTAATATTATTAATGTTAATATTTTTATTATTATTAAATACACTTTAGCAAATTGCTGCAAGCACAAGAAGACGTTGAAAAAAAATCGTTTTTTCTGATAGGTCATTCATTATTAATTTTTAAAATCCTATCCAATCATAAAAAAGATTACAAAAATTTTAAAAACTCTCCTCTCCACCGGTGCGTGACGTTATCCACAGACGGCCTCCCCATTCGAGACATAATTTGTGGAGAGCCACCTCACCCCCACTTCTACATAGACTTTTAGCGAAGAGTTAAATGTACTGTCGTGTCAAATCAGTGTCATCTGACTTCACGTAATGATATTTTATTTGAATGTACACATACTCCGAAAAAGGATGATGATGTGGTGATGATGGCGATGATTGTGATAAGAATATTGAATGATGATGAATAAGGATGATGATGACAATGGCAACAAAAAACAACAATCTCGATTTTTTTTAAAGGTACACCCCAACAAAGATGAAAAACATTCTGATGATGACGTGGCTGATGGTGATGACGTCATATATGCTCGTGACGCTTGCCAGCTTCGATGACGTCGAGAGTGGCCTCAAAGTCGGCTACCACAAATACCAAAAGGTCATTTCATTCAAATTCACTTTTAGACGTAGTAGTTATTTATATTTTTTGTTTTTGAAAAATTATTTATATAGCGCCAAAACTCCAATTAAAAAAATTCAAAATTTATAATGAATTAACTTCTAAAAGTGGTGAACTTCATTAGTTTTACTTCAAAATGTTGTTATTAATTTATTTTCAGTAAGTTCTTACATGCGTGTGTTTATCTTATAGCGCTTAGCTTGTTGACATTTTTTCGCAATTATGAACATTTTTTTCTAAATTCGGCGCGCGCTAAAATGCGAAATTACGGCAATTTAGATTTAACATGAAACTAAATGGCTCCCTAGAATGGTTCTTTCCCTCGTGTTCATTTCATGCCTCCTGACATTTTATATTATTCGTAAATACATTTTCTAATAAGATTAAATTAATGTCAATGAAACGATTAATTATTATCAAAGTTTAATAAGCGGATGGCTAGTTTAAAATTTTGAAGTTCATCATCTTGATTCACTTTTAAACTAAAAAATTTTTTATTCACTTTTGGATTGATTGATTGAATGAATGAATGAATGATTGATTGATTGATTGAATAATTGATTGAATAATTGATTGGTTGATTAATTTATTAATTGATTATTACTTATCTAACTGGTTGCTTTATCGCTCAATTGATTGATTGGTTAATTGATTGATTGATTGATTGATTGATTGAATAGTTGATTGAATAATTGATTGGTTAATTAATTTATTAATTGATTATTACTTATCTAACTGGTTGCTTTATCGCTCAATTGATTGATTGGTTGATTGATTGATTGACCGACTGATTGACTGAATGATTGATTGATTGATAGTTTAATTGAATAAGTTTCATTAAAAATTTAATTAATTATTTATTTCCTAAAAATAAACTCCCCAGAGATTCATCAAGACCCTGAAAGACTTAGAACAGGGCAAAGGGGAGAGGTTAAGTTACGGCTGGGGTAAGCGAAGCGGCCACAACAGCCACAACAACAGGAATGTTGATAACATCAACAACAACAACAAAAATAACCACAACGGCAACAACATTAGAAAGAAAACTGATGACGTAGAAGGCACTTATAATGTTGTTGACGATTTCGAGAATGGCGAAATTTTCAGTGATGGTCTCGAGTTATCGGATCTTCAAGAAATCGTTGACAACTACAAGAACAAGTTCAGAAACATCAACAAAAACGAGAATTTTGGCAAAATTAATAACAACGACAAGTCTTTTAATGTTGCCGACAACAACAGCAACAACAGCAACAACAACAATGATGACGACAATAAAGTCCTGTTGCCGAGATCAAACGGCAGGTTCAAGAAACTGTTCAACAAGTTGCAACAAAAGTTAGTTTTCATTACACACACACGCACACACACGCACTTTCACACACACGAACATTTGCACGCACAATCACACACACGTACAGTCTTTGAATTTCGAACAGACAGCATTCAAACCAGGTCATCGCGCAACAACAACGCGAGACATGGCAATCCTACCGACTGAGCTAATCCGCCGATAGTACTAATATTACTACTGTTTTCCAGCTTTGTTGCTAATGAGTTAATTAATTGATGATTGATCAATCATCAATAAGATGCTCGCCATCGTCGTCATCACGGTTAAAGTATGCGCAATAACATTATGCGTTATAGACAGCTCTGACAGTAGTAGCGTTTTAAGTGTGGCGTTATTGGGTTGTCGAGGTTAGCGTTTATTGTTTTTTGATGTAATATGGTTGGCCCTTTTCTGTCAAACATGTGTGTATGTGTGTGTGCGTGTGTGTGTCTGCCTAGGTGTATGTCGTGTAAGTATGTGAGTGTATCTATGTTTGTACGTGTCTTGTTACGTCAGTTTGAAGGTCTGTGTGAGTGTGGGTGTTGCGTGGTCGTGTGTGTGCGTGTAAAAATAATTGAATAAAATTTCTTTCTAATTGAAAACATAAAAATTATCATCAAAATTAAAAATTAATTTAAAATTATGTATAAAAACTTTTAATGAGTACAATAAATTACGTTCGTAACCGTTAATCATAATAAATATTAATTAGTAAAATAATAAATTCCTATTTTTTCTTATAAATTCGAATAAATAAATTTTTCATTTTCTATGAAATCTCAAACTCAGTAGTAATAATTTTGTAATATTAAGGAATTAAATTGTTTCTATCACGAAATATCACAATTTTCATCACAAACACCATTTTGCCGGGGTCAATTTGTTCTAGTTGGATGTGAAGGATCGCGTTTTTTTTTCAAATTGGCAACTTTATTTTTAGAAAAATTATCACTCATTGTTATCATCGTCATGGTCAGTATCTTGGTCACTATCGTCGTCATCTACTTCATCATGGCCAACATCGTCGTCGTCTTCATCATTTTTATTTCTCCATTTGAAAAGAGCTTTACTATATAGTTAATTCACTAGCTGACACTCTACATCTACATGGTAGTAGGCTTGCATGAAGATGTTTTTTCAGTATTTCAACCATTCAAATATTCTATTGATAAGTCGTCAAAAACTTCTCGGCCGTACGTTCTTACTTCTCAATCTACACTTGCGAGAACAAGATGACGAACAAAATAAAAATAAAGGAAAAGAGAGAGAGAGAGAGAGAAGAGAGAAGAGAAGAGAAGAGAGAGAAAGAGCGGAACAGAAAAATTGGAAAGCGAATGAGAAAGGAAAATAAACAAATATAGAGAGCTAAAGAAAACCAGAAAAAAATTTTAATAAAAGAAAGAAAGATAAAGAGACTTTTTGAAGATATAGAGAGAAAGAGAGAGAGAGAGAGAGAGAGAGAGAGAGAGAGAGAGAGAGAGATAGGGAAAAAGAGAGAGACTTATTGGTGAGAAAAAGAAAGTGAGAGAGAAAGAGAGATTAGGACAGAAATGAAGATGAGAAAATAATAGGTGGAAAAAGATGAGAGGAAAAAGAGTGCGTAAGAAGAGAGAGAGAGGGAAGTGACTAGGATGTATTAAGATCTTGATTGGAAATGAATTCCAAGGTTGGTGATGTATTGTGGGACGGTCGCATTCCGCACGATTCAAGCTGTTGATGATGTATTTATTTAAAGGGGAATAAACTTTTCTTCACCTCATTGTTTCAATTTTCTTATTGTACATCGTCCTATGCACGTATTTTTGTATTTATTTTTTTGTTCATTCCATTCGTTCGTTCGTTCGTTCGTTCGTTCGTTCGTTCGTTCGTTCGTTCGTTCGTTCATTCATTCATTCATTCATTCTTTACTTTGTTCAGCCATTCGTTCACCGATTCATTTAATTTAACCATCCATTCATCCATCCATCTATCAAACAAATTCACTCACTCACTCACTCATGGAAACTTTCTTTGGCTACCTTCTTCTTACAGACAGAAAATTATATTTCGAGGTGATCTCCACCCACCGCTTCTCTATTTTACACGGACCGTAACAAATTCAATTTCAGACACCAAAGTGTATGCTGTGTGTGAATCGAAATGTTGTGTGTGTGTGTGTGTGCGTGTTCGCGCGTGTGCGTGCGTGTGGGTTTGTGTGTTTGCGTCTATTTGGGAAATATGTTTTTACAAATTTATTGCTTATTCTACATTCAAAAGTTCACACCGTCATAAACGTAGAAGGCATGCGAAGGTAAGGTCGACATCATCCTACATATCAAAACACAAGCACACACGCACAGACACACACACACATACACATACACACACACATACACACACACACAAGTATGTACAGACACACACACACATACAATGAACATAACTGATAAATAAGTAAACAAAACCATAAATAAATAAAAACGAACGGACAAATTTATTCAATCGAACAAACACAAAGAAACTGATGAACACAAACAAACGGATGAACATAAACAAACAGATGAACAAAAAACATTTCTCGCCATAAACATGGAGACGAATTATTCCGCGGAGGGTGCTTATAAGATTAGTAAGGAGTCCTTGTAAGTTTTCAATAAAAATTAAGCGCTTGTCGCAAAACACGCGGGCGCGTTTTGTTTTATACGGTAGTTTTTACTTTAAAGTTAAGCGCAGGTTGGTGATTTTATAGCGCACTGTTTTTTGTCTTTCTATGTTTGTAGGTAAAAACTTTTGAAATGTGCAAAGAATTTGAAAAAATTTGGTTTCATAAAAATGTTGTTGGTTTATGTTTGTTTGGTTGATAGTTTTTTAAGCCTCAAATTCTTATTGAAATATTTAAGAGAATGTATTGAAGAATACGTGAGGTTGGATGCCATTAAGTTAACCTTTTGAGAATTTTCCACAAAAAAAAGGAATTTGTAATTTTGAAAATCATCCTTCCTACAGTAAAGTGCGAGGATCCGTGACTCACTGAGTGTTTATTATCACTGATTATAACCTGAATGTTTATTTCTGTCACAATTTATTTTACGTTAGCACAAAGTTATAAACAATTAAAAATAGCAAACATAAAAATAAGCTCAAGAAATTAAATCTTAGAAATAATTTTTTTGGTCTTTTTCGGTTGAAATTAATTTCATTTTTAAAATGTAAAAATAAAAACGAATAAACAAACAATAAAATAAGCAGAAGAGAAATTGCTTGGATGGTGGAAATAAATTGTTGCAGATGAATTAGTAATGTGAGTATTTCCGTGAACAAAGGGAATTAAAAAATGAAATAAAGCGAGAGGAGAAAGTTAAAAAAATAATAAAAGAAGCGTAATGAATTAGTCTAACAAGCCAAAATCAACCAACCAATCATATAAAAATTCCAAGCAAACTAACCAGTCAAACACGTAGCTAACCAAACCAACCAGCCAATCAGAGAACAAGCAAAACCAGCCAGCCAATCACAAAACAAGCAATAATAACCAACCAACCAACCAACCGGAAAACAAGCCAAACAACCAAAAAGAATCAATTGTATAGCAAGCAATCAGCAGGCCATTTGTGATGGCGAAAACTTCCCACATACATAGCGTTATAAAATTCATCATCGTCGTCAAGCAAGCAAAACCTTAGTTATGCAAATTTGTTATGAAAAAATTAGAGAAATGGAAAAAATTGGCCAAAAAAATACTTAAAAACTAAAATAATTACTGTTTATCTTTATTTGAAATGGTTACTTTTTAAAAATGTTTAAATCCGTTTTGAGACAACTGAAAAGAGTGCCCCGTTGTAGAGATAAGTCACAGTGACCTGGTTTAAAAACAAAAAGATACTCGTCTTTTGTACACTTATTTGCCTGATGAGTCATTCCACAGATATATACGCTGTGTGTTTGTAAAAGTTCAAAAATGGCGCTATATAAACTCTTGCGGTTGATTGATTGATCGGTTGGTTGGTTGATTGATTAGTTGGTGGTTGATTGATTGATTGATTGATTGATTGATTGATTGGTTGGTTGGTTGGTTGGTTGGTTGGTTGGTTGATTGGTTGGTTGGTTAGTTGGTTGGTTGGTTGGTTGGTTGGTTGATTGATTGATTGATTGATTGATTGATTGATTGATTGATTGATTGGTTGGTTGGTTGGTTGGTTGGTTGGTTGGTTGGTTGGTTGGTTAGTGGGTTGGTTGGTTGGTTGATTGATTGATTGGATGACAGAAGTTTGAAGTTTCAACAATTTAAGTACTTCATAAATTTATGCAATATCGTCACTCTCGTCATCAGCACTATGAATTATTTTTACCTTCATCGACCTTCTAACCATCATCATCATCATCATCACTATCTTCGTAATCATCATCATCACCACCAATAATGTCTAAATTATGTATATGTGTTTCTTGCTAGTCGCCCAAATGAATGCAGAACATCTTCCCACATATCATATCAATTTCACACACGCACACACACACACGTACGCATACACAGACACACGTACACACACACACACGCAGACAAACTACGCAATATATACACAACATATAAATACACAAACACACTTATAAAAACTTTCCGAGTTGCACACACGCGCCTTATATGCCCTATAAATTCATCATCTCCAAGGAAACTAGTACAGGAATACCTTCAATAGAGTACATGAGCACTTTTACCCAGTACTCGAGTACTTACTGAGGGCATGGTTATTTATAAAGTACATTTAAGTACATATAAAGTACATATATACATTTAAGTACACAAAAATTTGTTAATAGACAAAAACTTCTATGTACAGCCAAACCGATGAGCCGGCATTATAAGCATGCATTTAAAAACCAATGAAAAAGATTAACCAACAGATAGAAGACCACAAATTATTTCTACATGTTTGTTCTAACTCCAAAAACTACACAAACACACCACAGACACACGCGTGCACACACACACACGCATTCACACACGTCACCAAAACAGACCGATGACGTCATCCTCAAATTTTCCATCATCGTCGTCATCATCAGCATCCTATGCTCACCCCCTTTCCGTCGAGATGGAATATGACGGGCTGGCCTATTGACGTAGGTATTTTTCACCCTATTTGTACGTGTGTTTGTATCCCTGTGTGTGTATGTGCGTGTGTGTATGTGTGTTTGTATTTGCAGTGTGTGTATCTCTCTCTGTGTGTACATTGTGTGTATGTGCAGTGCACACTTTTGAATGTGCTTATGGTGTTCAAGTGTATGTGTACTTAATTGTTAGTAATTTTAGGTGTGGTTTTTTAAGCGGTGCTGGTATTTACGTGATGTTTGCATGTGTGTTTGCGTGTGTTTGTGAGTATGTGTGTGAGTATGTGCGTGCGTGCGTGTGTGTATGCGTGTTGATAGCAAGAAAATGAATTGAATTTTTTTAACGATTGAGATTTTTTTTCCAGGCAGATGATGTCGCTGAACGTGGAGACACACATCCATCAAATTTGGACAAATGAAATTTTTTATTTTTTGCCAATTTCCAATATAAAACTTAAAAAATAGATTATATTAATTAATTAATTACGTCGTTACAGTTATGATGACGTCATTCATTAAGACGATGAGGATCGTGACGTCATAATCATGGTGACGTCGTAATTATAATGTCTTTATGTGATTTACGATGTTTAAAACGAGAAGATGTTTAATTTTTGTCAATAATAAAATGTAATTAACTCTTAACTGATTTTTTTTGTTCGCTTTATACGAAAATGTATTTCAATCGAATTAACATATAGTTATAAAAATTATTTAAAATATTTCTCTCTCTCTCTTTCTTTCTCTTTCTTTCTCACTTGCTCTTTCTCTTATAGATAATAATAAAAATAATAATTATAATAATGATAATGATGATGATAATAATAATAATTATAATGGGGCATAGAGCAAATAGAAATAAAGTATGACGTAGGTGGACAGACCATAGAAACTGGACAGACCATAGACACAATACAAACGTCGCGATTGAGCAACTTCTTGAATGATCGTCAATGCATAACTGCATTTATGAAGCGCTGTCTTTTTCTTTTTCATTTTCATTAGGTAGTTCTCATTTTGTCGTGGGTACTATTGAATTGTTAACGGCCTATTGGGTATTGGCTGAGTCTGGTTTTATGTCATGGAACTGATGGATTGGTTCGTTTGGTGAGGTCATTTTATTTTTATTGCTGGCCCCATTTTAGATGTTCATCAACATTCATTTTCCTATTTACACATATAATTATCGAGATTAATAATTTAACTATGTTAATTTTGAACCATGCTCTCAAATATCGTCTTCTTCTTCTTTTTTTAATTCCATTTATTCACAAAAAAGTGAAAAAGTCAGCCTAGCAATAAATGCTTATCTAGGGTTGACTCCCATAAAACAAGAAATAACATAGTAGGTAATCAAAAAAAAGAAAAAAAACACAATAACATAAATGAGTAAATAAATGTCTTTTAAATTCTTCAATGTTCTTAAATTTTCATGAATAAACTTTAAACTTCAAAAATGAATAAAATTAAGAATAAAATATTAATACATTTAACTTAAACAATTCAAAAATGTTCTCAACTTCTTTTTAAATTCTGTTAGATTATTAATTGATCTTAAATATTGTGGCAGATTATTCCATTTATAAGNTGCATAATAACAAAAGTTCCTGGATGTTATTTTATTTAAATTCATTAATGGCTTAATTATATTAGTATTTTAAATGAAATAACATCCAGGAACTTTTGTTATTATGCACCTTATAAATGGAATAATATTTATAATTCAATTCAAATTTATAATTCAAATCAATTAATAATCTAACAGAATTTAAAAAGAAGTTGAGAACATTTTTGAATTGTTTAAGTTAAATGTATTAATATGACCACATTTACATTATTTGACTCATCAAAATAATTTAATTAAACTTTTTGTTAGTTTTTTTAAGCTAAAAACCGGCACGGTTTAATATTAAGACGGTCTTAATTTGTGACTCAGTGCCGGGATTCGATTGTGCGTGCAGTACATATACTTCTAATTTGCTAAACGTTAACACTCCAATCAATCAATTTCAATCAACCAATTAGTTTATAAAGCGCTATTTCCGCAATGTTCAACAGTGCTCCTCAATAAATTTTGAAAACAGATGGGTCTTGAGATCCGCTTTGAATCTCGCAAGTGATGGAGAAATAGTCAGAGAAGAAGGTAGAGAGTTCCAGAGAAGAGGGCCAGAAAAAGCAAATGCAGATTTAGCAAAAGAGTGTTTAACACGAGTTAAGAAGAAGTGGGAACAAGAAGACGATTGTAATCCGACACGTTTAGGTTCAATTCATACATATATAAATATATTGTATATATATATATATATATATATATATATATATATATATATATATATATATATATATATATATATACAGATGTTTGAATTTAACTACGATGGAATATATATATATTTAAGTTTACTTTTCATCAAATTAACATTAAAAGTGCACTTAGTTTTAAGTGTAATTTTACTGAGTTTCAGCGTTCAAACTTTCAAATTACGAAATCGAGGATACTTTTAATGATTTATTTAATTAACTTTTATTAAGTTTTTAATTTTTCATATTGGTAAGAGTGTGAATTTAACTGTCATCCAGTTTTTAAAAAGATATTTGACTTTTTGTGTCTCCAAGTTGCACAGAGTCAGTAAAAAAGTAAAAACAATCAATCAAATCATAATCATATGATTTGATTGAATTTGGATTGAAATATTTTTGAATGATTGAATAAAATTTTGATTGTCTCTTTTATTTTATTTAATTATTATTATTTAGTTTGATGAATTGAATTTTTATTAAATATTAAAAATTAAATATACTACAAAGTAAGTATTTGATTTAGTTTTTTCAAAAATTTTTGATGTTAAGAACCTTAGATTAGACTTAGATGATTAGAAGAATTAGTAATTTGATAAATTATTAAAATAATATAAATAAATAAATTATCCAAATGTCAATTACCTATTTTTAAAAACAAAAATCAAAGTTCAGATCTCAAGTACAGACATCTTGGTTCCACACAAATCATAAATGTTACTAATTGTATTATGATTATACATTATATAGCCTTATTTTCTTTCAGTCACATTAAATTGGGTTAATTAATCAGTTTATTAATTAATTAATTAGTTTATTTAATATAAAAGAATCCAAAATGTGTAGCAGTTTAAATTCTGCAAGAATATATCCTGGACAAACCGACAAATCATACCCTGAGGTATTTAACAAAATTCCTAATCAGAATGGAGTGATCAAAGATGAGTATAGTTTAAATGATGAACAGCTGGAGCAATTTTTTGATAAGGTATTTTTTATTTGTATTAATATTGTTATTATTTGCATTATTATTATTATTTTTTTTTATTATTGTTTTTTGTTGTATAGGGATATCTTTTGGTGAAAAATGTATTAACCGAAAATGAACTGAAGCCCGTCATTAACTCTATAAATAAAATGGTCGAAAATTTGGCAGATAAACTCTATAAAGCAGGGAAGATTAAAAGTAAATTTATATAAATAATTTTGATTTCTGAAATAAATAATTCTGATTTCTGAAATAAATTATTCTGATTTTTGAATAATTAAGAATGGGTTTATTAAAAATGAAGAATTGAAAAATGACCCAATAAAATTAGTTTTTTTTTGTTTTTTTTTTGATTTTAAGACTTATACAGTGATTTTGGATTTAACGATAGACTGACAAAATTAGAGAAAGAATTCCCAGGGGCTTGCGTTCTTGCCCACAAGATGGGGAACATTCCAGAAGTAGGGAATTTATATTTTAGCGTGAATCACCATTACCATCATCATCATCGTCATCGTCTCTTTCATCATCTTCATCATCATCTCTTCATCATCGTCGTCATCATTTCAATTTTCAATAGTAGCAGTAACTTATTCTTCATCATCCCCACCCTCATTATCGTCTTACTCATCCTCACCATCATCTTCTTCATTTTCATCATCTCTTCATCATCGTCGTCATCATCAACATCACTCAGTCATTCTGCAAGGTATGGAGTGGCGGAAAGTTGCTATCAAAAGTGAGGCAGCTACTTGGGGCGGGCCCTTCCGTTGAGATTGCGGGCCACCCTGTGTGGAACCTTAGGACCAAAGTGCCAAATGTTGAACAAGTTACTGTTCCCTGGCACCAAGGTCTCTCTTGTCGTTATGATTAAAAATCTTTTCTTATTTACGACTCTATGATCTCTTCAGAGACTGAATGCAATTTCGTTTCGTTTCGTTATTTCGTACCCGCAAGTAGCACTACATACGCACGGGACATGAGGGTTTTTAAGTTTAGCCCGGGCAGCTTTCGAACCAGGTACGAACGCAACAACAACAACAAAAACACAAATCACGGACACCTACCATCTTTGCTAATTCACCAAATGCGATTAAATAATAATTACGTTATAATTATTAATAATTATTTTAGATGCTGCCTACCTTGATAATGATTGTT